ACACACAGCTCGTAACATCTGGTTACAATTACTAACACGGCGGAAAGGCGAGCAACAGCTTTTGTTGCCTCTGGTCCTTGAGGGGTGGTGTTTGTGTGTGTTTGTGTGCGTCTGCGTGCTAGTGTGTCAAGGCTGTGTGTCTGTGTGTGTGTTTGTTTGGTGCAACGAGAACAAATGGGACCATTATTTAGGCAGGGGGCAGAATGAGTGGGCGAAGGAGACACTTATTATACTGCTATTTGATAAGGCTGAAACTATGCTTATTTGCTTCGTTCCAGAGTCGGATGGAGCTGTGCCAGATGGGTATTGATTAGACTAACACTGTTGTAAAAACACAAGCGTCTATTACAACAATTTTCCACTGAATAAACCAGTATGACTAACAATGGCCTTTTCCAAGAAATATCAAGAGCGCAAATTACAAATGCTTAATTAGACAGTGAATATTTGGAAGATGACTTAAGCATGAATTAACAAACAGAGAAAGTGACTTACCCCTATGCCTCCACACGGCAACCTCACAAACATGGGATTTACTGAACCTGAAGAGAAAGAAATGAAGTCAGGAATTAGAAAGAGAGAAAGCAAAAGTGAAAGGTTACTAAGGGAAGAGGTTGCACTGCGGACTCACAGACACCCTTAAAACTATTTGACTTTGTGACCTTATCTAACAGCAATAGTACACAAGGGCATGCTTTAATTAGGTGAGGTGAAGAAAAAAAGTATCTGCTTGACCTCTCAATCAAGCCTTCTTCAGGAAAAAAAAATCTAGACTTGGCCAGAGAGGGGTCAGTTTGTCACTGAAGAAGAAAATCAATAAACTTCACATTTCTGACATGTCTGAAAACAAACTAAGCTGACGTAGTTACTGAACCTGAGTCGACTCTTTTCAAATGTGTGCTTACACTTTTAATTTCCTTTCAAACAAAACAACATCAGCTTACTTTATTATTTGTAATTTCTTTTCAAATTAAATCTCACTGCTTAACATAATCCTAATCCAGAGTTAAACACTACACCACTAACAGATATTTAATATAGTGTGAATACTTTAATTCCTGATTAGCCGCCACCTTTGTGGTTTATTCCTTTACTCCAGCTCTTACTGTAGGCTATCCCACTTGTACGCTGAAGCTCACACAGGAGTATCTGGTAAGACTCCTGTGTGAGCAGTAATAATAAGAGGAATTTATGCCTCCACTGAATGAAAGCCAAGATCACCACTGGGGCTCGCCCCTTTGGTTTTTTCACATAATGCAGACTACTTCACTACACCTGCACTTTAAGGCCAGACATAAGTGACTAAGCAGCCTGTGAGACTTTTAGTTTAGCAGCTCTAGTTGGTCCTTGTCTTATCGTAACACCTCTGAGGACTTTATTAGAAGGACCTTTAGTTATGATACGATTTAAGCATTAGAACAGATTCCTTTAAACGGACCCTGCAGAGTCAGGCGGTCAACTTCAGACTTGTGAATAAATGCATGAAACTCTACAATTCTCAAAAACCCAGTAAGTCTTAAAGCATCCACAGTTTTTTTAGACTAAACTAATGAGTAATCTAGTCTAGGAGGTGAAGCAGCGCACGCTTGGAAAAAGTGTGTTTGTGAATGTGTGTGAGGAAGCATGTCTTACTGTCTAGTTTCTGCCGCAGCGGGTTAGTTCCATATAGCATGACGTGGGCTTCAGAGTGGACTGTTTGCAACTCCTCCAATGAGGCCTTCCTACCACGGATACACTGAAAACAGAGAGGAAAAAAAAGATACACAACTTCTGATTAGCTTTTCATGCTCCGCATTTAAACTGCCCGCAAAAACAGGATAGGAGAGCAGAGTTCTGCAGAAGTTTTATCATATTGTTAGCCTGAAGAAATAATATACAGGGCGTCCCAGTGTTGTCACTGAGTCAGTTTAATATTAGATCATATTCGAAACCTCAATGTGAGAGTTTTCACCTATAAGAACAAGTGTTAAAAGAAGTGCATTAACACTGCCTCCTTCTGGCTACGACAACAACCTGCAATAAAGTGGTAAAACATCACTGTCAGGGGAAAATAACACAAACACTAATATATGAAACAATTTCCAATGACACAACAACAAATGTGCTGGTTTTTTCTGTTTTTTAAATTTGGGCAGGTGTGGTGGGTAGTTTGATTCCTGGCCTGCTTCATAAGTGTTCTTAGATGATACTGAACCCTGAATTGTCCCGGTGCACCTGACTATTTTAGAGGGTGTGTGTGCGACAGACAAGTGCATTATGAATGTGAGGGGAAACATATGAGCGTAGCTTCTAGTGTAAAGCGTTTAGCGTCAATCAAACCAGGAGACGACTGCATAAACGTCAGTGAAGTTAACATTTCCTTCCCCAACGTTTCCAAAGTCTGACAACGATTCTTATTGTTTGCCTCTGAAAGCTAAATACTCATGTACATTTTCTAATTGTCCTTCAATAATAACACAAGTCTAACTTTGCCTTTACCTCACAGTGCGCCCTGAGGCCTGTTTCCTGCAGTCGGGACCAGATGCTCTGAATGCGGCCAGCGTGCTCTGGATGACTCGTTGTGCTACCACATATGCACTGGTGCTTCTGCATCAAAGACTCATACACAAGACCTGGGAAATTCACACACCACCACGCACAAACATATGGGTGATTATGCATCACTGACAACAAGGATAGAAACAGCTGTCACGATGACATTTTTAATGGTCACACCATAAGACGTGGTGTGATTATCATCTATTGCACCTGCTTCTTCTAAAGCAACAGGTTATCATTGTGCAATAAGCAAACACTCTGTTTAGGATGTTTAAACGCTGCACACAGCTACTCACTCTCTGCATTGTGTTTGATCACTGTGGTGCTCGTGACAATAAAAAGCATCACTGCTGTGTGTGTGTGTGTATGTGCAAAGAAATAATTATGTAACTCAGCAGACCTGTAGTGAATCGAGGTTTGGCTGGCGGCTCCTGCACGACCATGGGGAAGGAGGAAGAGGCTGGCGATGACTGAGCTCTCGACAGAGGCCGGTGGCCAGCAAAATTGGCCGAAAGCCCGGCTGCTTCCATCGAGGCTTGGTAATTCCTCAACTGGTGGATCCGCTGCTGCTCTAAGAGCAGAGCCTGCTGCTCACAAACACAGACAGTGCAATATTCAGCAGAAAGCTGGGCTGCAATATGTGTATCCCACCAGAAGATGGCACCAAATACCAACATCTTCCTACTTGCTATAGCGCCCAGTTTAATCAGCTTCCATAAAGATTGTTGCAAAGAACCAAACTACATTTGGTTGTTGAAGCAACATTTTCTAGCTGACATAGGTCCAAACATGAGTGTTTCACATTAAGGCGTCAAAATTATTTTAAACTGCTTACAGAAAAGAAAAGTTATTATGTAACTATTTATGTAATTGTTTTTAAAATGATCTGTAAGCACCTGAGTGGAATATTTCAGTGCTCGCTAAGCAGTCGTGTTTTCCTGCTCTGATGGGTGTGTCTGTCTACACTATGGGCGCCATGGCGACAGTGAGAGGAGTGTCTGATTGAATTTGGCTGAGCGGACAGCAGGGATGGGCTGGACATATTGAGGACATGGTGTCTCAATTGTGTATTAATGTGGCCAAAGAGAGACTGCGCTGTACAAATTCACATGTAACAGAGAGATTTGTTGCTGCTAACAGCTTTTACATAAAATACTTGCACGTGTATGCCCGCATGAAGTTGTGCCACGGACTCATTTCGAGGATATTTATACACATATTATACTGGAAGCGGGTTGGGTAGTCAGTCCAGTCGGGAGGAAAGGCAGATCAAACAAATGTGGAGTGTAATGTTTCAGTCACAAGAAGCTCCATCTGTCACTGCTATCAGTGTGTTGTTCAGCCCAGCTACAACACCACTTACTGATTACTGTAATACAAAAAGAATCCTCCATACTGTGTTATCGCTGCCAGTTTGAATCATCATGCACATATATGAAGACATTATGTCAAACATATGAATCTGACACTGCTTTTAGAGTCATGCAAAAGAAGAAACTTTCTCCCTTTTTATAAATGCCAGATTAAACTTGTGGAATTTGAATTACATGCCCAGTCCGTCTTTTCCACTCCAACTGGTCCCCGCCATTCATGCTTACCTGTCTGAACAGGAAGTCCTGCTCAGCCTGCCTCTCTCTCTGCTCCCTCTCTTCTTGCTCCTGGGGATCCGGAGGCTCCTGCTTGATGACCACCCCACGTAGCAACCCCGTCTCTTGCCCAGAGGTAGGAGAGGAGGACGATGATGACGAGGAGAGCGCCTGGTGCTCCCTAAGCTCCTCCTCCGTCTCTTCCGGGTGACTCTGGTGTTGCCTGCCTGGTCCTGAGGCACCCGGGCCTGCAGCTGAGGCCTGATCGCCGGGCTTGGACATTATCTAGAGGGCAAAAAGACACGGCCAGGTCAAACTTTTGACGCAGTGGTTTGACGGTGTTATGCATGTTTTTAGAGGAAAAACTGGAACACTTTGAACATAAAAAAAAAATTCCCATAACATTCGGCCAAGATTAGGGAGTCAACTGATGATGTTAGGAGCCAGCAACAGAAAGACGTTCCAGAAAACAGAAGAAAGACAGAACCGAGGAAAAGCAAAAAAGATAAGTAGAGTTTCAAAAGCATGAAGGGAGGAAAGCACTAAGGAAACATCAGGGACAACATGCCCCAATTTAAAACTACACTTTGGATGTTTTTCATTCCAAAAATAACTGACTAATCAGTTTGCGTACAAAGATAATGAAAACAACCTTAGATAAACCCACCAAAAGCTAACATTAGCCGGGGCTTTTGACTTTTTGCACACACAGAAATAAACCACGTCTGTACTCTGGATTCTGATTGGCTAGTTATTTGTTTTCAAACTAATGATATAATCTCCTGAGACTATGGATGAATTTTACTGCTAAGTTCGTCGTGTCTGAACCTGTAAGAGAAAAGAAAAAGCGAGGAAAGAGAGTGGAAGCACCGCAGAGGGGGGATTGTAATAATCTTGTTTTGGCAGCTGCCCTCGTCCCTGTCGTCACAGACCTCAACCTTGATGTGCAGGTCATGATTGGACAGGACCACTGTTTGTGCTTGGAACACATACACACGGCTGGCATATTGCCCAGGGAACAGTCCATTGACGTCAAAGAGAGCAGGCTCTTGCCTCATCCCAGTCCCTCTTCTCCAAACAAACTCAAAACACTCCTGCCACACTGACTCTCTTCCTTTCTCTCTCAATTTGTTCTCTTTCCCTCTGTCTAACCCTTCTTCTTTTACAGAGGAAATAGTGGCTGGGACGTGAACCATAAAGGGGACAGACACTAAATAACCCTGTTAAATCAGCTGGAAGAGGGAGAGGAGAGACGGGGTGGTGGAAACACTTGATACACTCAGACTCTGTGCGTTTATTTCTCTCCCCTAAGCACACCACTGTACCGCCATAGCTAACGGGGGTAATTAATGGCACACAACAAGCTCAGGTTGGAACCATTTCAAGATTCTTTCATTCGTTTCTTTCTTTCTGCTGCAGAAAAAAACCCAAAAGTTTTCAGGAAGACCCCTTTTTCCTGCTGACTTGACTGATAGATGCAAATAGGGAAGGGAAGGAAGACTGCAGATGAGTCAAGTGGTGGATATCCAAGGGTGAAAAGGGTAAATGAAATAACTCCTGCCAACAGGATATTTCTACATAATAGTTAGCACCACTTTTAAGAGTCAAATGGTAGGCGTTACATGCATCACTGGAAACATATTCGTCCCACGCTGCTAACTTTAGTCGCGTATTTTCCCACGTCAAACTGAAATATAGCAGATATTAAAACCAGCTCGCAGCAATCAATATTTCTTGGGGATAATGTTAAATTCCTCATTAAGTCTGATCTTTAGGAGGCAAAAACAAAACAAAGAGTAACTATGGAGTCCGCTGGGGATACTTTTCCAATGACTTCCATGGTGCAATGATATTAGGCAACATTAAAAAGCAGGAAATGAATAGACACCTAAAATAGCACTGTCATTATCCTGCTTTGCGGTTAATGCAGGAGCTATAATTACAGTCACAAATATCAGGATAACAAGTCACACACACGGCAGTCAGACACGGACGGCAGGAGAACAACTGCACCATTCAGTAGCTCGAGGTTTTATTCATTAATCTACTTCTGTGCATGACTTTGGTAAAATAATACACAGCACCATAGCAACGCTCAGAGATCATCACACGCCAAAGCATTTTCTTGTTGTGGTCTAAAGTTTAAAGTCTAGCTCTTCAGGTGTTCAGGTGATATTTTGAGTAATGGACTATGAAAAAGGGCAGATCGTTAAAGTTAAAGGTGCCATTAAAGCTTTTTAAAGCTACGCAGAACGGCTCCAGTTAACTAAACAACCACCATCCTTTTTCTGTCCTGCGTCTTTTAACAACTTCATCCAGTCACTGAACTCCTGCCTCTTCTGAAAACCTCATTGGACGCCCTTTATTTAATCCTGTGTGATAATCCCAGGTTATCCACTGCTATATGAAGAGGAAATCATCAGGTAAGGGATTGCTTGAAAGTCTATCCGAGGCCCGTCATGGACACCACACACACAAATACACAATTGTCATCCCTTCAAACCACACAGGAGGAAATAGGCTGCGAGTAACCATGCCAACCCAGGGAAATAAAGCAAACTGTACAAAGACCTCAACGTTCCAGCAGCTTTAAATCCAGTATCTGTTTCCCATGAGGTAAGTCGGGAAACCAGTAAGCTACAATTAGACCCTAATAATAATAAAAATGAACTGACTTAATTGGAAGACTTATGTAGCAGAACTCAACGCAAAATTACACAGAACATTATAGCTCATTATAATTGCCGACAAATAACCTAATGGGATTTACAGAAATTGCTACAAGCTTTGGTGACTTTACACTTGTTCATTTTTATGCATATATGTTGTTCTGGGTGTACCGCAAACTTTGGCTGCTGATTGTTAGCGATTAGTGGGCAGCTCCTCACCTCATCCTCTGTGCAACTCAAACCATTTTAGTTCCAGTCTCTCTCAGCGCCTCCTAATATGCATGCTTTGTCTGTCTCTTCCTCTTACTAGTGTATAAATCTTTATGTGGGGAAAAACTCTTTGTGCAGATACATGTTCAAGCCTGATCCCCAACCTGAAATATTGAGGTGACATCCACAACAAGAAAGATTACAGGAGGATGTTTCTGGTAAGTATGACACTCACTGCTTGCTTTTTATGTGATAAAACTATTGATTTAGTAACAATGGGGGATTTTTTTTGTAAGTTTGCTCACTTACAAATAAACAAACTGTCTTGTATTTTGTGGCAGTTTCGGTTTAATGGAGAGAGACAGAATAAAAGTCACTCAGTGATCCTCTGCAACCCAGCCAGAATTCTAGATCCCACAGACTAGGGGTTAGGGATACAACCAGTCAATTAAAGATACGCCAGAGCTCATCTTGTTATGTATATAAAGTACACCTGTTTATTCCAACCTTTCCACCATCATGTCAAGACCAAAAAGTTGTCCAAAATTGTCGAATGGACAACAAAAGCATCAGTAAGAAGCTTGGTGAGGAGGTGAAACTGAAGAAAACTAAAATGACCAACAGTCTCCCTCAGTCTGGAGCTCCATGCAAGAGCTTGCAAGAGGATGATCATGAGAAAAGGTGGTGAATAAGCCCAAAACTATTAAGACCACAGTCATCAAGAACACCACCACTGGTAACGCACTTCAATGTAATGGACTGAAATCTTTCAGCAGCTACAAGGTCCCCCTGCTCGAGAAGGCACACAGGCTGGTCTTAGGTTTCTCTGTGAACATCTCAGTGACTCAGAAAAGGCCTGGGTGTCGGACAAAACCATGTTTAACTGGGAGGGAAATGCTGAGTATGACCCACAGAACTTTAAAACCTAAAGGATTTAAAGTTTCTGTGAAGAGGAGAGGACCAAAATCTCTCCTGAGGGGTGTGCAAACCTGGTGAGCAACTATAAGAAACATCTGTTTCTCTCCATTAAAATAAAACTACCATTAAAATTAGAGACTGTTAATTTCTTTGCACGAGAGCAAACGTACAAATTCAGCAGGGAGTCAAATAACTTTCCCCTATTGTGCATGGATATATTTTTTTTTGGGGGGGGGGTGCTATGCCTTGAGAAGATGAATGCACGACCATGATAAGCTGACAAAGCCTCAGATTTTCGATCACATTGATTACTTTTACAAATATTCACCTGATTATTTGAACCTTTGGGCACATTTAATGCAGCCATGTGACACAATATATGAAATTATGAATTTCAGCCACATAAATTATGACTGTATCGTAGAGCAACTTCACACATAAGCTTGCACATACGCACACTCTTCAACAATGAAGCAGTGAGTCATATTTCCTGTGTGACCATATATGGAAGATGCTTCCTCTAGTGCACAGTTGCCAGGGTGACAGCGAGAAGCAGGGACACATGAACACAGAAAGAAAAAAAAAACTAGCTAAAAGACTTGCTAATTGCAGGCTGAATCATCCAGCTCTTGGAGAAAAGAAAATAGGACTCACAAACCAAGTCAGTGTCATGTAGATAGACAAACACTCACACACACACAGTATATGGACAGACATACAGCTGCCTGCAATACTGCAGCTGTTCAGAGTTACTTTTGATACTGCGCACAGACATGTGTTGAAATACCTTGTTAATGATGTGCTGCTGCTGCTGCTGTTGGAACAGTTGTTTGTGCTTCTCCAGGAACTGCTGGTGCTGCTGCTGGACCACCAGGTGCTGCAGGGCCTGTGTCTGTCCGCACTGCTGCTGGGGCAGAGGCGCCGACTGCGTTCTCCCCAGGGGACGGTGGCTGCGCATGAGCTTGGAGACGGAGGGCGACGGCAGCGGTAGGCCACCCAGCCCAACTACAGAAAACACAGAGCGGTTGCAGGAAATGATCTCAAGCATTTTTTTCAAAAGCTGTGTCTTATTTCTGTAGCTCCACTCATCATTCACACGTATTTACGGTGATAATTATAGGTGATTTTATTTCATCTACTTAAAAGAGACTGGAGGCTTTACAACTGGCCCCTCTCATATGACGGATGGAAACCGTTACTCAGGAATACCGGCTGCACATTTTAGCTGCAATGCAGTGCAGGTCCTGCTTTTTTCTAGCTGTAGTAATAAATTAAAATAAGATAATGTCAGACAAGTTTGCCACATTTGTCTCCACTTATAAATTTCAGTAGCTTGGTTCAAGCAGGCCCCGCAATATAAACAGTATTGCAGAATGGAAAATAGATCATGCATTACTGTACTGTAAGTGACAGAGTTTCACTCCTCAGGCTGAATCACATCTGAGCAATCAAAAGGCCAAACAAGGATTGATTTTGGCAAAATGTATCCTTTGACAGCTATTTAGGTCTTTATTAGTGTTTTTAATTCATCTCCATTCATAAACAATGAGCAGCAGAAGGAAGAGGAAGTCTTGGCCCTCGTATATGCCAGCTTCATGGGAAGCTTTCCAAAAAAGATCGGCGTTCATCTTTAGAGGCCAGATTCAGCAGACAATAGCCAATAAGATCACAGATTGCAGCAGTACAGAATGAACTGTGAGGTCATTGTCCGAATCCTCGACAAATAATCGCAAACAAAAATCGTATTTATTTTATTCCTTAAAAATCGTTGACGTTTTTCCCTCCAGTGATGCTCTGATAAGCTGCCCAAATCATTAGAACCTTGAATTGTGTGTATGTAATCTTTCCGGTAATTATTTTGGCACACCTTGAAACCTTGCTAAAGCTTAGAGAAGAAACAGCAAAATATTTGGGCTTTAGATTCTTTCGGTGGACCACACAGTATCAATAATTCAGACCTCACCCACTGTTTGAAAGAGAGAAAAAGAAAAATCCTGCAAATGTTGCAGTGAAAACTGACCCACTGGACTGTGGCTTGGATCCAGCAGTACCATGTGTTGGAGGAGGGGGTTGTGACCCGCCGTGCCCCCTCCTGGGCCCTCCCTGTCCAGTGCTGAAGATGCCAAGTAGGGGGGCAGGTGGGAGGGCAGGAAAGGAGGGGTCAGTGGAATGCCCTGCTGCAATGCAGGCAATGCCAGATGACTCTCGCCATCTTGGTGTCCCGATACCACCTACAAAGAGATTGAGACACAGGCAGGGAGAGGGAGAAAGAGATGTTAAGGTGGGGAAAGAAGGAAAGAATGAAGGCAATGACAAGACTGACAAGTTCAAATCCAGTTACAGACTCTGTAATATCCACTGTATTTCTAAGGAAACTAACCAACGAACCTTCTCCACAGTGATGAGAATAATTACAGTACAACTAATGAACGATTCGCTATAACTAATGTTATATCTAAAAGTTTGATCCTGTGGTATTTTCTTTTAAATGGACTCACAGTGCTAGCAGGTCCTGTGGCTGGCAGGCCCAGGGTGATGTTGGGCAGAGAGGGAGAGGTGTAGAGAGAGAGCTGGCTAACTGACCCTTCCCGTGTTGCCAGCCTCTGGAGCAGCGAGGTCTGCAGACACATTCGCATTGACATAAATACAGTGCAGATCCAAGAAAACAGTGCTGTGTACAGTGCAAGACTTTTCCATCTCTCTCACACATACAAATGCACACACAGCCACGGGCACACAGCCATGGATATTAGATTCATTTAAATCTATTTACCACAATATGTAACCACAGCTATGGCATGAATAATCCAAATATAACATTACCTAAAATCAAAACTTCCCCCTAAAATTAAAAATGACTTTATGAAGACTTAAATGATGACACTGATTAAACAGATGTAGGTCTCTCTGCAGGTGAAGAATGAAGCCAAAGCTTAACAGCCAAAAACTGCAGTTCCTCAAACTGCCACTTGAGGTTTAGAGAAGAACAGAATAGCAGAAATAAACATGTTTACATCCTGGCACCAACTCTTTTGGTCTTCCTAGTTACTTTCCCCATTATGTCAACTGTATGGAGCTTTTTATACCTCACCTAACACCACAGGGTCAGGCGGTGGTCCAGGCTCTTTTACACAGAGTTCGGTCATGAAAGGGTTACAGACCCAAAGAGACAGAAGCAACAAGGTTAACTTCAGAGTATACCTAACCTAGCGGGCTGAAGGCCACTGACGTATACCTGATGATTTTGGAGCTGAAGAGCCCATGCAAGACTTTTGAAAGTACCCCTCGTGTCTCTTTGGATGTAAAACATGTTTTTTATCCACTCGTGCGGCTCGTTATGAACTGTGAGATCACTTAAAAATTGCAGAATGAATAAAAATATGTCGATGGGATTCCAGGAATCACATTCGGAGACTCCAACTGTCTCAAGATGTGCAGAGTTCACCATTTTTGCACCTGAGAAAGTTTGTGATGTGGGTTATTTGTCCTTGAATTTTCTGTGTAGCCTGTATGACTCACACATTATGACTGTATTATCTAGGACTGATTCCTGGAGTACTATAAATAACACCGTTTTGTGTGATTACTCTATGAATTTAGCTCTCGGTCTCATTGCTGTTATTTATTGAAACAGCAGTGAGACCCTTTTCTAAGAAAGCTGGTTGTCTCTCCGGGCCTTGAACACTTGTGACCTCTGACGCAGACTCTATCGCCCAGTTAAATGTTCTTAGAGTCATGTGGAAATAAAGGTGTGGCTGTTTGAAGCGACAGGTTTCTCTGAAGAGTGAAAATCTAGTATCATGTTCTTTTGTTACTTATCACTAATAAGCAGCTATCTGTGCATCTGTATAGTTTACTATTACAAACTGCTAACCACTTTTGGTAGCAGAGGTTGATGTCATGGTTAGGGATGGGTATCGTTTAGGTTTTATCCGATACCAGTACCAAACCGGTACTTTT